ATATATATATGTATATATATATATATATATATATATATATATATATATATATATATATTCACGTATTGATTCACGGATGGAAAAATGTGATGACACTATATTCCGGGATATCATCCGTTCGCTCGTTGAACTCCGACTGGAATCCTGCATCCGACTGGAATCCTGCAAATCTTGCATCCGACTGGAATCCTGCAGACGTTTCGCCAAAATCTCACTTGGCATCTTCAATGCTCGCGCTCCGAAAACACTTCGAACACTGGGAGGTTATCGGCGGTGCGTGCGGTATTTATACTCTGCGCCGGAGATGGTAACGGTGCTGCTTGTGCGTGGGGGGAGGTGGCTCCGCCCCCTGAATTGTCGCGTTGTTAATTTCGCCCGATCGTAGTTGCGATGTCCCCGTTGGCTGCTGCGCATCGCTCTGCTGTTTGATTATCGTTCTCCACGTGTTGGATAAATGCAGAGCGTCGTCTCTCGTATTGAGGTGTCCGGACTTTTCTATTTCGATGGCCTCTCGTATAATCCTAGTCCTAAAATCAGGAATGTTAGCTATTTGTTTGCAAGTGCCGAAATCAATTTTATGGCCTGTCTGATGTTGGTGCTGAAACAAAGCAGATGTTGTTTGTTTGTTTCTTATGGCTAAACGATGTTCCTCGAGCCTGGCTGAAATCCTTCTGTTGGTCTGTCCCACATACGTCAGGCTGCACGATCCGCATGCTACACTGTATACTCCTTGGTTTTCCAGAGTAATTTTTTGTTTTGGGTTTCTTAGTATTGCTCCGATGGTATGGTCAGGTTTGTATGCCGTTGATATGTCGTGTTTCCGTAATATTCGGCCGATTTTGTCAGTAACCCCCTTGATGTATGGCAGGACAGCGATCGATCTTCGTTGGGTCTCGTCCTGCACTCTCTGCTGCGGCTGTTGTTGTTTACTGATTGCCTTGTTGATGGTGCGCCTTTGGTACCCGTTTTGTTGAAGACAGGTACTAATTTTCTTCAGTTCTTTATCTCTGTTCCTCTCGTTTGTGAGCCTGAAGGACCGAGCAATTAATGTATTTGCCACTGCCTGTATCTGTGATGGGTGGTGATGAGATTTAGCGTTCAGGTATCTATTAGTGTGTGTTGGTTTTCTATAGACAGTGTGTTCCAAGTGTCCATCTTCGGTCCTTGTGATGTGCACATCTAAAAAGGGCAGACTGTTATCCTCTTCAAGTTCTATTGTAAATTGAATCCTTGGGTGAATGGAATTCAGATGATCTAGGAATTTCAAAAGCTCCTCCTTGCCAAAAGGCCATACAACAAATACGTCATCAACGTATCTTGTCCATAGTTTTGGCTTCAGATTTGCCTTCTCTATTGCTTTCTTTTCGAAGTAAATCATGAAGAGGTTGGCAATCACAGGTGAGAGAGATGATCCCATTGCTGCTCCATCTATTTGTCGGTAAATTTTCCCGTTGTGCATAAAGTAAGCGTTTTTCAGGCAATGTCTTGACTCAGATTTTAGGTTCTCTCAGGATGGACAAGGACGACATTATGGCAAGTTTCGATGTCAAATCCCTCTACCCGAGTATTCCAGTAGAAGAGGCACTCTTGCTTATAGAAGAAAACGAAGATCTTCCGCCATACATAATGGATCTGTCAAGACATTGCCTGAAAAACGCTTACTTTATGCACAACGGGAAAATTTACCGACAAATAGATGGAGCAGCAATGGGATCATCTCTCTCACCTGTGATTGCCAACCTCTTCATGATTTACTTCGAAAAGAAAGCAATAGAGAAGGCAAATCTGAAGCCAAAACTATGGACAAGATACGTTGATGACGTATTTGTTGTATGGCCTTTTGGCAAGGAGGAGCTTTTGAAATTCCTAGATCATCTGAATTCCATTCACCCAAGGATTCAATTTACAATAGAACTTGAAGAGGATAACAGTCTGCCCTTTTTAGATGTGCACATCACAAGGACCGAAGATGGACACTTGGAACACACTGTCTATAGAAAACCAACACACACTAATAGATACCTGAACGCTAAATCTCATCACCACCCATCACAGATACAGGCAGTGGCAAATACATTAATTGCTCGGTCCTTCAGGCTCACAAACGAGAGGAACAGAGATAAAGAACTGAAGAAAATTAGTACCTGTCTTCAACAAAACGGGTACCAAAGGCGCACCATCAACAAGGCAATCAGTAAACAACAACAGCCGCAGCAGAGAGTGCAGGACGAGACCCAACGAAGATCGATCGCTGTCCTGCCATACATCAAGGGGGTTACTGACAAAATCGGCCGAATATTACGGAAACACGACATATCAACGGCATACAAACCTGACCATACCATCGGAGCAATACTAAGAAACCCAAAACAAAAAATTACTCTGGAAAACCAAGGAGTATACAGTGTAGCATGCGGATCGTGCAGCCTGACGTATGTGGGACAGACCAACAGAAGGATTTCAGCCAGGCTCGAGGAACATCGTTTAGCCATAAGAAACAAACAAACAACATCTGCTTTGTTTCAGCACCAACATCAGACAGGCCATAAAATTGATTTCGGCACTTGCAAACAAATAGCTAACATTCCTGATTTTAGGACTAGGATTATACGAGAGGCCATCGAAATAGAAAAGTCCGGACACCTCAATACGAGAGACGACGCTCTGCATTTATCCAACACGTGGAGAACGATAATCAAACAGCAGAGCGATGCGCAGCAGCCAACGGGGACATCGCAACTACGATCGGGCGAAATTAACAACGCGACAATTCAGGGGGCGGAGCCACCTCCCCCCACGCACAAGCAGCACCGTTACCATCTCCGGCGCAGAGTATAAATACCGCACGCACCGCCGATAACCTCCCAGTGTTCGAAGTGTTTTCGGAGCGCGAGCATTGAAGATGCCAAGTGAGATTTTGGCGAAACGTCTGCAGGATTCCAGTCGGATGCAAGATTTGCAGGATTCCAGTCGGATGCAGGATTCCAGTCGGAGTTCAACGAGCGAACGGATGATATCCCGGAATATAGTGTCATCATATATATATATATATATATATATATATATATATATATATATATATATATATATATATATATATATATATATATATATATATATATATATATATATATATATATATATATATATATATATATATATATATATATATATATATATATATATATATATATATATATATATATATATATATATATATATATATATATATATATATATATATATATATATATATATATATATATATATATATATATATATATATATATATATAT